CCCGTTTATAAGACATTAGAGACTCCAGAGGAAAACCTTTGTTGCTTGTTAAGATCTTTAAAGGGATCCATAAATAGTTGTAACATTAGATTTTATTTGATGAACATGTATTTTAACTGTAAAATAAAGACTGTAAAAATGTAGGCTGTTTAGTTTTTATAATTTTTAAACAAAATTTAAAAAATATATGTTACACGGACTGAGCCATTTTATTTACACGCAAAGCATTCTGGGTAAATTATGACATGGATATATCCTCGGTGCGAGACTGTTAGCGAGCTATATCCACCCTGAAGGTTAATCTTGGACATTATCTGACGTGTAAATAAAATGGCTCAGTCCGTGTTAAAATGTATTTTTAAAAAATTACAAAACTGAATAGCTACAGTATTTTTACTCTTTGTTTTACAGTTAAAATATATGTTTATCAAATAAAGTCTAATGTTACAACTAATCCTGGATCCCTTTAATATCATTTTGAGTTCTGGATCAGACAGTTTAATTCAGGTTATCCTTACATGTTACCGGACRGACAGTCTGGATGTTGAGGCTGATTTTCCTCCAGGCAGACAGATCAACGTCCTCACTCTCTGCCAGCAGCCTATTGGCACCTGACAGCTCTGTTCCTCACTTCTATACTGAAATATAATACAGCTGCATTACCTCTGAGGAGAWATACCAAATGATACGACTTCATTTCCACTGTAGTAAAAAGTACATCTGTTTACATGTTTGATCTAGTGGAAAACAAAGTTGTTGTATTCTGTGAATGAACAGTGAAAATACCCTGATAATATGAACTTGTTTTTCTTTGGTTTCTGTGCACAGATTGGATTCAGTGATTGGACATTTTGATTTATTTCTTTTGATTTTTCAGAGGCTGATGGAGCAGTTTGTTTTTATCATTCTGGCAAAGTGTTTCTTCTTAACAGTTTTTTTATTGTACAGAAAAAAAAGAAGCTCAACRCAAAATGCAATCTGAGGATAACATGTCACAAAAACTAGTTCACCTTTTTAAACAGTATTTGACACATGCATTCACAGATAGAAAGGACTGGATATTTTTCCATTTGGAGCTAAAATTTCTTCAGGGTTGTTTTCATCTCTAAGGAAAAATAAAATACTGAYGACAGTTTTGTTGATTATGAGCAAYATTTTACAGAAGACCTGTCAAAGAAGCAGTGACTGTTCGGACTTCACATAAAGAGAAAAGGTTCAAAGGTCAAACACAAATAGCTTGATATCGACAAGAAATAAAAGATGTCTTTCAGCGGGCTGCCAGTCAATAAAATCCCCATTTATCTTTGCTTATTTCAAGTTACTCAACTCCCAAAATACTCTCCTAAATCATTTATGAGCTCCAAGGAGGTGTCTGTGTCTGTGGAGTATTAACTTGTTTATTTTCCACCAGCACCCATGGAGTCTTTAACCTTACACGTCTGTCAGAGTGGCCTACTTTTTCCTAGCAACTGATTTAAAAGCTGCAACGTTTGAAGCAGAAACTGCAAAAATGGCATTGAGTCAACGAAGAAAAAAAAACAGAATATAAACAACATCAGCACCTCTGTTTGAATTGAGCTTTTGTAACTATGAGTGTGACACAATRAAAGTATCAGCTGTTAGAGCTGCATGTTTTACACTTCTGTGTTCAGATGCTGGGGATTAGAATAAAATTAGATTTTGTTGGCAAAAATCATAAAAACATCTTTTTAATGTTGGTAAATTATATTTTTAAAAAGGTAAATTCAGTGTTTCCACCTAAAAAGGTATATTCTTCATTTAAGTTTAACCTTAACTGAAGTGAGGTTGTATGATGTAACAACTAAACTCCTGGTAGATGGCATAACTTAGAAAATAAAAGCATTTCATGAAATTAGCTATCTGTTACTGGAACGTCACTGCGGTTAAATGATCAAAAACTGAGTATTTTTTCTTTCATWATTGAGAAGATTTAACAAGACCAGACAGAACGAGAGCCTGTGTTCATGTCCCACTTCCTAATGAAATGGAAACAGGTCAATAAGCTCAAAAAATAACCTGAAAATTGAACACAGATAGACCGGATGTCTGTTTTTACAGAAAAAGGTCGCAGCAGCTGAAGTCAAATCAGCGGCGTGAGACAAGTCGGAGGTTTCAATAGAGAGCTTTGATTGACTTGGTGATAAATAGGCGTTGTGATTCTGAGCAGGTCTGGGCGCTGAAATGTTGCCAAGTCAAAGCTGATTTCAGACTCGCTCAATTCTTTACCACAGCAGGAGGACCAGCAGCACTCACCGGAGTGGTTTGTGATGTGGCTTGATTAACGAATAGCATCAGCTTGTTCAGGTGACGGGATTTTAACAAAACAAAACAAATAATAATAATAAAAAACAGCTCATTAAATGTCAAAAAGGCTCAATTGTTTATTTTTTTTACATTTGTAAATGTGTGTTGAGGAGAAAGATTTGTTGAAACTGTCCTTTGCATTATTTCACAAGACAAAATTGATAATTTGAGACTTTCCAAATTAATTAGCAGGGTAATAAAGTTTCTTGCTGACCAACAGGGAATAAGAGCTTAATTAACCTATTTTCTGTTCAAATTATCTGTTTTTAATCCGACACAGTCCACACCAAAGGATGATGGACTCATCTTTTTTAAAACTTTGTAAACTTCAGCTGTGAAGCTGCTGAGCTGATCTATAGTTTAAAAGTAAATGCCATATGATAAAAGAATAAAAGATAAAAAAAATCCCTCTTGATTAGTAATAGGGAGATAAATATTGTGGTTTTGACAAAGACTGATATTTGACCAATAGAGTATTATGACATTATTACATTTGTCTGTATTTTAAATTAAAAGAACACAYTCAAGTCTTCTGTTTTACCACTTCTGTAGATTAAACAGAGACACCCTGAACATTGGTTCATTCCTTCATGCCAACAGGCAGGGGGTCGGTCTATTTGCAGGGCACCCCTTAATTTACCAGATGTCTAATATAAGATTAGTTGAGTGCAAAGACCAGTCAGATTCTCCAGCTGGGTCTGCAGAAAACTCTTCTTTATAGAAATGTGACACTAACGAAATACAAAACATCCATCACAGGTTTGTTTATTTTCTTTCAAATTCAAATCATTTAACAGTTAAAAAAGAAAAAAGAAAATGTTTCTAAGAAGACAAAAAATAGAGTTAAAAAGTATGAAAAAATATAGCTGTTTTAGATTTGCGTACCTAACATTTACTTTATTTAATTTTTTCCTAATGTAACATGTTTTACAGTATGAAAGCAAAATGTGTTGTTAAAATAATTCTGATTTGTCGATTCACCATCATTCAATTTCTCCATTAAGATCTTGTGTTTTCCTTTCCTTTTAGCCAACAATCAGATGAACAACATGAGTCCATCATCGACTTTGCTGAGTCAGCCGTATCCAGCCAGTCCGTACGAGCAGACGCCCATCATCAGTCCGTACGAACAGGCGTCCATCAAGGATCTCAACAAGTACACCATGCTCAAGGCTGTGGGCAAGTCACAATTTATCATTTTAACTAATGGAGCAATTATATATTTTGTTTTGTAGAACTAATGGCTCACATAGACGAAAACATTTTTTAATATTTCTCCAGGTAGAGAGCTATTATTATCTTTTGCTGCCTTTTTTTTAATAAACATCAACAGAGTCCAGAGTATTTAATGCTCCATCTAGCCTGGCCTCTAAAGGTTTATTAGTCGATAACCCATCAATGTCATGAAAATAAGGGGATTTTTATAGCAGTACATTTGTTGTTCTTTTCATGTGCTATTTTTTTTATTTTTAATTCTCTGGACAAGTCATCACTTCACAATACTGTTGATTTATAGATATTTTAAATCTGTAAAGACAAACTATTGAAAACGTCTTCCATATCTGCAGGTGTTCAGTCACAGTAATTCCCAATAAATGATAAAATAGGATCTAGAGATATTAGCAAGTATTGCACTGGGTTTTTTATTTTTGGAGCTTTGAGATCAAGATATAATAAAATGTTTGATTTTTGAGAAATTAAAACAYRTTTTTTTKTTGTTGTTTATTCATGTATTTGTTAGCAGAGACAGCGAACGGCCAGAGCAACCGAGCGCAAGCGTTGGAGATGATGACCAAGGGCAGCCTACCCATGGAAGGTGTGGATATGGAGCCGGAGCCGCGGAATCCTTACAGCCCCCCCAGACAGCGCTCTATGAAGCAGAAAGGACACAACTTTAAAAGCCCCAGGAGCCACAGTTCCCAGTCACTTTACTACAGCTCCAACAGTGTGCCCAGCCCGGGGGGGCTGCGATCCTGGCAGAGCAAAGACACGCTGGGACACCGACACGGCCAAACGAAACTGGGTCTCATGGAGAAAGAGCTACACAACGCTCACTACATGCCTCCACAGCCATACTTTGTCACCAACAGCAAGACGGAGGTGACTGTATGAGCCACGGGTTTGAAATGAGGGACGTTTGTTGTCACCAAGTGCAAGACGGGAGCATGGACATGTGTCCACACGTGGGCAGCATTTATGATGCCATCTGTACATGAAGTACTGTAAAAAAATAACATAAAGTTAATCATTGAACTTGACAAGGGTGCAAATATGAATATGTTGTGTTTGATTCGCATTTAGTCTCACAGCTAAAGTTGCTTCCCTTGTTATCACAGTGACACAACAAACCCTGGCACCACACCCAGTCAGCCGGTTCGGATGTTAGCAGTMCATTAAATGGACGTTATTAGCAGATATCAGTCCCATAGAATGGCTTCAGACTGTCCTGACAGTGCCCCCTAGTGGGTTACCAGTGCCATATACAATGCAACAATCTGCTACTGCCAGAGTCCGGCCTACTTCATCGTAGCCCATGTCATTTTCCCTAAAATTAACCTTAGTGGTTTTACACCTCATATTAACCAGCTGACAGTCTGAAGCCATTCTATGGGACTGATAATGGCTAATAATGCCCATTTAATGGATGATAMCATCYGAAGCRGGTGACCCATTCCAAACAAAGCTAGGATGTTGTGTAACATGTAACTACCAAATCTAATAAACCTAGACTTTATTCATAAATTGAAGCTAAACAACACAACATCCCAGCTTTWTTAGAACTGGCATTGTACCTTATCTGTTATTTCCAATGAATATTGTTGAATTATAAGAAGAGAAAAACATCCTTATTTACCCAACCACTGTACCCTGTTGTTGATTAGTGWTGAAATTGGTCACTATAGGTTATACTGTTTGTATAAATGTCAGRAAATACTCATGTGCTAAAGGACCAGTTGTTCCATTATCCATCTGGATGTTGAATTAATGTCCACACTTTGTTTTTTTATTTTCAAATAGCTCTAAACTATTCATGTCTAATAAATCATTATTTGTATCAAAGTGTCTCAGAATTTCAACGTAGGCTGGAACTGTTAAAGGCTTCGATTCTTTTTGTGATGTCAGTCCTGGTTCTCACTTTGACTGTTCTTAGTATAGAAGTGGTTAATAGTTTTAATAAATGCAAAGATGGTGAAAACTAAAAASAAGCTTTTTATTGTCAGTAACAATGTAAGGACTCATCTAACCAGTGCAACTTAATATACTGTTTGTTAGTTTTTAACAGTTGTCCTAAATGCATAAATCATCCTAACTTCTAATTCTACTCTATTTGTTGTTTACTGTAATATTTATTTAAAAAAAGCAAAGTAAGATTGAGATATGAATGAGAATGACCACTTCCCTTTGGTTCTGTACTTGTTAGATAATTAAAAAAAGATTTTGGCTGTAGATGCCTCCTGTTTACATTGTGGCTCCCAATCGAAACTTAAGTTTCACCAACCCCCCCTGGGAGAGTTGTAATTTTCTTAAAAATGCCAGAAGACATTTTTGTTAATTAGTAAATCATGTTTCCGACCACCAGGGTTGTTCCCTTTGGAAATTAAAAATCAGCACAGTAACCCGATTCAGTCAGACCTGAACCACAGCTGTGCACTGGTCTGCAAAAAGTCCTGGTGCCAAAATAAAAGCATAAAAACATTTTCCAACTCTCACACGACTGAACGATCTTTACTTATCGATTCACATGTTGACAAAAGGTCTTGAATAAAAACACATTGGGGATTTTAAGCGACACATATTTTATATCCATTGTAAAAACATTTTTTCTACAGATTATATATATAAATAAATAGAAAAGCAAACGGCACAAGTGCATAAAAAGCTCTTGTTTAAAATCTTAACATGTATTTATGGTTTTAACATTACGAGGGAAGAAATTGCAACAAACATAGTCGATGATCGCTACAATCACAAGGGCTGCTGGGTCATCAGCTCTAATGGCTTTATAATTCGCAGTCAGTTAACGAGCTGTGGCTCACTGCCAGCAGCTCTCGGATGTTGAGACAAAGCTTCTCTCCCCCTCAAAAGCAGCAATCGGCTGTGAGCTCCAAGTGGTATTATTAGCCACTTCAGGGGAGTTGAGATTTTGTGGCTGTCACAGGGTGATGCTGCTGCTGTACGGTTCAGAGCTCCTCTGAACCATCAGCACCTTAATGGGTGAAAGGCCACTGAACAACGCATCTTTCTCCAACTGCTTTCTAAATCACCAATAAGAACTAAGAGTCAGAAAATCCACCAGCGGATGGCAGTGTTGACTGAGCCTGTGAATCTGTAATTATAAAGAAACTATAAAATCTAACATAAAAAACGTTGTCCTAACCCTATCAAACGAGGCAGTCTTGAGTGCTGATTTACTCCCATCGTTTTCCAGATATAATGATAAGTATTGCTAAAATGCAGGTATGCACTCAACGTAAGCAAAACACTTTTATCTGCATACTTTGCTCAACAAACCTGAGCATGAATGCTAACCAATCCATTTAATTCGTCAGACTTCTAGATCTCAAACAGATCTTTCGTGAATGTCACAATTATTGAACAGGTTTTAGTTCCTTTGGTTGTTTCTGTAGGAAAAAAAATTCATGTCACAAATAATAGAAGCACTTAAATAAAAGCCATAAAACTGCTCACAGTAACTGGGAATGTAAAGTCACGGAAATGTTGGATTTACGTAACCAATTAGGTTCCACTAAACCGAGTTGAGTAAATCGAGCAATTGACACATTTTCTTTAAATGAAAATGTATCAATTGCTTTACTTTTACGTAATTAGTGCATAAACAACTCCTTTCATGATGAGTTCTGGTCATATTTTTGACCAGATTTTTTGCTCCTCAGCATGGCTGCCTAAAAACGCTGCAGGATTTCTCAAACAAGCATGAATGAGTCAAAGCAAGGCTTTGGGCATGTTTTTTTTTTAATGAGAGTATAACATTATAACGTGATATAAAACTCAAAAAGTTGATTTTACACAATATTGCCTCTTTAAAGTAAAGAAATAAAAGTATATTTTTTATGTTTTGAATGGACCGAAATAAAAGTAAAGTTACAAAAAGAAAAATAGAAAGAAAGAAAGAAAGAAAGAAAGAAAGAAAGAAAGAAAGAAAGAAAGAAAGAAAGAAAGAAAGAAAGAAACCCTAAGTACTGTTACAAAGTAAATAAACTTACACCTCTGCAAATGCATGAAATAGTTGGCAGCTGGTCACAAATTTTGCCAGTTTTCATGACATTGCAATCAAACCTTGCAAGATTTCCATTATGTCAATAAAAATGTGCAGTTTTAATAGGCTTCACTGGCACTGTTTGGATAATTATTTGCTATAGAATAAAACCAGAAGGCATGAAATTTTCCAGYACTAATAAACAGGTTCCTGTCCAATTCACACTGACTTTGAGCTTGAGGGATTCTTCCTGCAGCTGAGCACAGGCCTGCAAAAATGTACAGCCTTGCCAGCAGGGTATGCTGCTCACTATTAAGACTTCTTATCTGGCACTCAGGGAGCCCTCAGCAACCAACAAAGCTGAAAACCTTTGTGTATGGTGGAGTGCCAGGAAATGAGCCAATTAGAGGTGTTTGTCAGGGGAGTAACAGTCATGAAACGGCTCACTATGGCAGCCATTTCACAAGGTGATATTTTGACAGGAAAAGGTAGAAAAATATTGTTTTCATCTCCTTGTTAGCAAAATGGCTGATTTTTTAGCCCTAATAAAGAATCTTCATCCAGTTGGTAAACAGTGGTAGATACACACCGAAAAATCTTCTAGAACTAAGAACATAATGAACGGCTCATCATAATTTCTGCTGAGATACTAACACTTTTTAAAAATGACAAGTTGACAAGTTTCAATAAGTCATTGAAGGGACATAGATTTCATATTACTATTATTCTTTGTGTGTAAACCAGATATTTTCACAAATGAATTTTAGAGAGATAAGAAAAACTCTGTAATGAGGAAGGAGGCTCTGCATTACATATTCATCCTGCCTGATAACACTTTGCTCACTTATTCGCTCCAGCATCGGAACAGATCAATAAAATTCATGTGCAAAGACACAGCATCATCCAGATTGGTTTGTCCCTTGGAGAACAACCAGTTTATGGTTGATACCATTCAAAAAAGTAAATAAAAAGTTAGTTATTAGGTGGGATTAGGAAGTGGACTTCTGGAACCCACAGATATCATCCTCATATGTAAACAAAGCAGCAACAGCTGCATGCATGGGTTTTTATCACTCTTGCGACTATTGTCACTGCGCTGACATTTCCACACTTATCAAATCAAAGATATGGAGTTAATATTTTGGATCTGTGCTCTCCTACGTTTTAACCCTAACTTAACTCCTAATCTTGAAACAAATGTTTMTGTTTAAAGCTAAAGAATTAAAAATCATGAATGGGTTCACTGGGTCCATCTTATCTTTTTGATATCTGTGGAAATCTTCAGTAAATTCACTCAGCAGCTGGACCCTGACTTAGCAAACACAAAGGCTGCTTAGTTTAAAACTATTCCTGGATTGATAAAATGATCTATTTAAGAAAAAAAAAACATTAACAACTATAGGCCACAAGAAGTCATATAACTTTAGCTGGAATTCGCATTCAGACTATTTAAGAAAGCGTGCAGAGTTTATGAGAAACTATGGTGAACTAAACAATAAATGAAAGATAAAATACAACTTACTGATAAATCCAGTGGGAATGAATGGGTTAAAGGTGCATATTCCGTGCAGCTGACTTAAAAAAAGAAAAGGTTTGAGGGCTTGGCAGTCTTTCCCTTCAGCATACAGACAATTGCACAAGAATCAGTCATTCAGTGTTTCACTGCCTGTGCAACTTAAATCAAGCCCTCTGACTGAAGGTAAGAATCTAATTTACACATAAAGGCAAGAAAGCTATTGTCCCTCAAAATGTTGCTTATAAATAACAGAATAAAAAAGAATCCATTAGATTAGTAACACATTTTGTGTTCTGTACCGTTGTTAAACAGTATGATATGGTAATAATCCCCCCAATCCTCTGTCTTTAGCTGCTATGCAAACCATTGCAGTGCTGGTGGTGTTGCTGCTGGGAGCATCTCCGGTGCTGCCAGATCCAGATGAAGAAGGAGAGAAGGTGACCCAAGCTCCYATTCCCTGCTCGAAGGGCTGCACCTGTCTGCACGATGACTTCACCTCGGATCTCAACATGTACTGCAGCGCTCGCAACTTCACACAAATACCGAGCGACATGCCGCCATCCACCTATTACCTCTGGCTAGATGGAAATTTATTCACCTCCCTCCCAGCAGCACCTTTCAGAGAGCTAACCAATCTGGACTTTTTGAATCTCCAGAGCGGCCAGCTGACGACCCTCGACCACCAGGCTTTCAAAGGCCTCAGGTCCCTCGCGCACATCCACCTGGAGAGGAATCGTCTCCGGGTGCTTCCGGCCACCGTTTTCCAGAACACACCRAACCTGGCGTCACTTAGCTTGCACAATAATCAGATCAGTCGCATCGATGAAAGGCTATTTTCTGGGCTCTCCCACATGTGGCTTCTCAATCTAGGGTGGAACTCGCTTATAGTCATTCCAGAGACAGCTTTTCAGGACCTGACAGGTCTGCGAGAGCTCATCCTTGCAGGGAACAGAATTGCTTACTTGCAGCCGCAGCTCTTCCAAAACCTCGGGGAGCTTAAAGAGCTGGATCTGACTGGGAACCACCTGAGGGTCATCAAATCCAATGTTTTTGTGAAACTCACCAAGCTGCAAAAACTTTACCTGGGCCAGAATCTAATTATGACTGTGGCACCCAGAGCATTTTTTGGCATGAAGTCGCTCAGATGGTTGGACCTCACCAACAACAAGTTAGCCTCCCTGCATGAGGACACCTTCCTGGGTCTGTACAGTCTCCACGTGCTGCGCCTTTCCAACAACTCTTTGAACAGCATAAGGCCCAGGACGTTCCGCGAGCTGCAGTATCTGGAAGAGCTGCGGCTCAGTTACAACAAGATTCGAGCTCTTGGGGAAAGGATCTTTGAAGGGCTTGGCCATCTCGAGGTCCTAGAGTTGGAGCACAATCAAATGCAGGAGGCGCAAGCGGGGAGTTTCACGGGTCTCTCTGATGTAGCTGTTATCAACCTATCAGGGAGCTGCTTTCAGAGGCTGCCTGATMGAATGTTCAGTGGTCTTTCAAAGCTTCACAGCCTCCATCTGGACAGAGGATGCCTGACAAGGATCACAGCTCAGGCTTTCAGCGGTCTCTCAGGTTTACGGAGGCTTTTTCTCCAGCATAACAATATCTCTGTGGTGGAAAACCAAAGTTTTGTGGATCTGGTGGGCCTTCTAGGACTGGACTTAAGTTTTAACAAATTAGAGGTTCTTACAGCGARCACTTTCTCTGGCCTCAACAATTTGGAGTACCTGCTGTTGACCAACAACGACTGTCGGCAGTTTTTGCAGAACGGAACAAAACAGCTGCTTCCGCGTCTGCGTTATCTGGATCTGAGAGCTAACGCCTTGACGAACGTAGTCACTAACTTTTCCGAGAACATGGAAAAACTTCTGCTGTCTGGAAACCGGTGGCGATGTGATTGTAGCACGCTACTACTCAGAAACTACAGCTTGAGGAAGCCGCAGGTGGTGCCCCGGCAAGTAGAGACCCACGCGGAGGGCGAAGAACCAGACACGACCATTACGATATATAACAACATCACGTGCACCAGCCCCGCGCGCCTAGCTGGTCAGGACCTGCGGGATGTGGACGCTGAACTATTCAGAAGTTGCTGAGCTGAAACACACTTGAAACGGCAGACGCACAATCAAAATCCTGCTACAAAAGCTTCCTGTCTAACATGAGCAGTGCAAATGACATTACTAAGACAGAAATGAGAACTTGCTAATTTTAGATTTTCTTTTGAAGAGGGGGTATTATACAAAATTGACTTTTTTGAGCTTTATATCACATTATAATGCCATTCCCTCATCAAAAACACCCAGAGTGTTGCTTTGACTCATTCATGTATGTTGGAGAAATCCTTGAATTATCTGTTGTAGTCCTATTGAGCTGCCTATACACTTGCTGGTACAAAGCACCGCCTATTTACACGAAGCTCCTMCCWGAATGTCCTGATGCATCKCCGTAATCCARGTAGAAAAAATCRAAAAGAAATAATAAGTAGGTCCTCTGGATGGGTTCTTCTTTAGTGAAACATTTTGTCTCTCCTCCAAGAGACTTCTTCAGTCTGATGAGTTTCAGGTGAACTCAGCCTTATAAGCACTGCCTCCACATGGTGGACAAACAGGTTAGTCACATGCAAAAGAGGGCCATCGCCTAACAATAGGCCTGATTAGCTCTATTGTTCACAGAGGGTCATGTGCCCATCACTTGACTTATTAACACCAAACAAACTTATTAACACCAAATAACCACAGCCGAAGCATCCAGACCAATAGGTCAGGTGATGGAGCACATGACCCTCTATGAACAATAGAGCTAATCAAGCCTATTGTTAGGCGATGGCCCTCTTTTGCATGTGACTAAATAAATCTAAACAAGCCTATTGTTAGGCGATGGCCCTCTTTTGCATGTGACTAACCTGTTTGTCCACCATGTGGAGGCAGAGCTTATAAGGCTGAGAGACTAAACCTTTCACTAAAGAAGAACCCATCCAGAGGACCTGCTTATTTTTTCTTTGCAACTCCTCCCTGAAGCTCATTGGGAGTGTCAGAAACAGTAGGAGGTTCTTAAAGAGACAGAAGCCAATCTCAAGGCATTTAGTGCCAAGTCCAATAATTTTTTAAAAATATATACAACATTTTCATAACAAATGCAGGCAGCATAGTTACTTGAATGTGATATAATTAAACTATGTACCTGGAAAATACACAATACCCCCCCTTTAAAAGAAACAATTGAACGATTCTCATCTGTTACTTTTACATTCAGCTTTAATAAAAAGTAATTAGAAAAATAATGCATCTCACATACCAATCAAACAACACCTCATATATTTCAGCTTTAATAAAATATCTTGTATCTGCTGTGGACTTTCAGATTATGCAAATGTTATGAAACCGGTGGGCTGCAAATCCTGTGTTACATGGTTGGTGTTTTCTGATACAGAACTCAAATAAAAAGAAACAAAATGACGTGTATTAAGAGTTTTATTTCTAGCTACTTGTAAAACTTAAAAAAAACTATGATAAATTGTCCTGATGCATGCTCAGTAATCCAGGAGTATTAATTTATAGTTTCATAAACTTAATTTTGACGTCATGATGATCTCCAGATATGCTGCTCGAAAGCTCAATCGATTCCATACAGAGAGTTAGAGATTACTTCTGCTCTGTAAATACCACAAAMCTTCACTCGTCTGCTGTCCTCAGCTGACCGGTGAAGTCCACAGGGAGCTGTGCTTTTGGTTTGCAGGGAGACTTCAWGCAGGAAGTGCTCAGAATTCCAACCAGCAGTCGAACAGGTCAGCTGTCAAAATAGCAGATTTGGAAAAGAGACTCATAGCTGTGCAAACTCTGATTCCTGCACCGTTCTTTTTGAATCATAATCAGAAATTTCTGAACAATAAGCTTGATTTGTGGCAAAKTACATGTTAAATTGAAATCTAGCCACAGTACAAAACAAGATTTTGTACTTAAGCAATTTTTCATGTTTATGAAAAAGAAATCTATTTAAAAAAATGAAAGCAAAACTAAATGAGATGTTGGTACCTACTACATCACAGCTTATTAAAGCCTTTCTTGTAAATAGCTAAGGGTCTTTCTGTTCCTAACCTTGATATTTTCATCACTCCTCCTTTCAAGTCAATGATTCACTTATGTGGTCAGGCTTTTTATAGTTTTCACCACAGTTCTATGACGATGCTCGACTCAGAGAACTGTGAGAACATTGAACGCGTGTTTCTGCTTAGGCTATTGCTTTCTTTTGCATTTCCCCACTTTTAGATTATGGACTAAAAACAAAACRTTTGCAGGTTTCCAGTTGCAATTTATTACCTCTTCTTTCTGTGCAATTCGCTGGTAAATAAAGTATTTCTATTATTAAATTGTATTTTTTTAAACCCATCTTTAGTTTAATGAGGTCAAATTCAGACACTCTTTGCAGAGTCATTCTTCTGACAGTCAGAGGGAGCCTGAGCAGATCGTCTGCTGTGTGCAACAACTAAATGGATCATTTAGCAACTTAAAACTCACAGGCAAAGACATTTAGGTTCACATTTAGCAAATACGTTTTTATTTGAAAATCTTGATTTTGTAACATTTCTGCTGCAATAAATCTTTTTCATTTCAACTGGCATGCTTAAASTGAATGTTTAAACCAAGAGTTTATAACAATCTTGCAAAGCGAAGCCACGACATCCAGCCTTAAGGCCTGAAGATGGTGGGACTGCAGGTAGTAAACCTGGGTAAACATTATGCAGCTTCACGCCAGCTGGATAAACATGTACCCTACCTGTGCTCTGGCTCTTTGCCTCCAGGCAGAAAATGCTGTGAAAGACATWCTGGGCCAGGAGGACTCATCTCAGTGGTTAATCTGTTATGGTATGATCGACTTACAGCACTCATGTCTTTATCAGAGTATTGGGACACATTATACAGTAAGAAAGGATTGCTACAATGTGCTACTGTGCATTTAAAATGGCCTGCTATAGGATCATATCAACAAGCAATCAGGGGCATAAAMGGATCCAGCTGTTCTAAAAAACAGGTTGACATGTTAAACCCAGGATTATGGTTACAATCTTGAGTAGTTAAGGTTGTTCTTTTGATTCATTTTCTTTCTCAGATACAGATTTTATCTTCAGATCCATTCAAAGCTGCACAGCTCAAACACCAGATTCTCAGTTTTAGCACTTTTTTTATTTCTACAGCAGTTCATTTAGTTTTACTTCATGTTGCATAAGCAATGCTAAAACATGCAGTTAACGGTTGAGTTTAGGCCTTTGGAAAAAATCATGGGGCTTTGGCAGAGCTCTCCTGGAAGTGATGTTGAAATAACAGATCGTTCTGCACCAGGTGACCGTTGTAAGCTGTGCACAAATGTTCTGCTTGCTTGTTTGTTGGTTCTAGGGTTCCTGATACACCGAGCGCCTGGGCAGACAACCTGTATGCTGATGCCCTTAAATGCTCCACCACAATGCCAAATGCCTTCCCTGATGGAGCTGCTGAGGTTAGACTGCCATCTGGTGGCAGGAAGGAGAAGATTCCTGGAAAATATGCGGATTCTACTCTCGGTACCACCAGAAAAGGTGAGGCAGGTAAAATTAAATAATTTAAGGACATAGTTAATATCAAGTTATCAATTCTGAATCATCACGGGTCTCGTCTCAAYATCTGGTTCACGTATTGTGGCTTTTAAGGGGAAAACTTGTGAATGGTTAAAATTAGAAGGTGGAGAAGAGAACKAATTTAAAGTGTAGACATTTACATTTTGAAATGACATTTCCCCTTTTTTCTCACYGTCTTATTAGTAATTTCAGGAAAAGTGAAACAAATGTTTATCTAAAAAGTGATGAGCTGTTAAATCATTCACCTCCCTCTCTCTGTCTTTAACTGGTAAAAACAATAACCTGATAGTCATAAAACAAATGTGTTATTTAAAGGAGACATATCCTGCTTTAAAATACTTCCTTTTCACATTCAAATCATTCAACTGATGTCTATATAAAGTGGAACTGCAATGATTTGRTCTGAATTCCTCCTTATYGTAACTCCACAAGCCCCTCTTTCACCTCTTTTCTGAGGTGTGCCTCAGATCAACTCGTTTTGAGGCTGTCTCTTTAAATCCAAACAAGGCGTTTCACATCCCGCTCCCCTCCAGCTTCCGGAGTGATCCATTCTTGTTTGAGGGGTTTATGGATAAATGGCCATGCAAAAACTTAATTATAAGATAATTAAAAGATGTCAGCGACTTGTTCATCCATTCTTGTTGGAGCCATGAGGAGAACGAGGACCACCAAATTGTATTTGGTAAGCCCAGATTTTATTTAGAAATTTCGTTGCAAATACTGTGAGTAGTTCAGAAAACATAATAGAAAACAGAATATAAAATTTTCTACGCAGCACCAGGAGACTAAGTGAAACTTTTCTGCATTCCTAGAGACTCCATGTCACAACAAAAAATTATTTAACAGCTAAAAAAATGGGATTTTACATGTTTCCTTTAACATCTTTTTGTAACCAAGTGTGAATCTAAATGTGTTCTTTAGACAGCTCGGCTGATGTTTTAGTCAGGACAGCAGGAATCTCAGAGTTATAAATACTCTTTTAGTGCATCAACCACATTCTTAGATAATCCAGTGCTGCAATGTCTTCTCCTCAATAAAACCCCCCAAACTTATACAAAGATGATTGTTTGGAAAGACTAATTTTAGACTATCTAAATATTATTAAAGTAAATATACTGTAATAAATGTTTTTACTAATAAATACTAACATTCTTCTTTCCCTTGTATTTGGAGCCACAAATCTGTCTTATTGAGACAAAAATCTGCACACRTTTCAGATGAAAAATTATTTTAATTCTTAAGATGATATAAAATATTTTGTGAACTCTGTAAACCATTGCATAACTGTAGTGTAACAATTTAACAAGTGTTAACAAACTAGTAATCCACTACAGCAAATGATGTGGTACACAACGCTCAATGTAGAAAAAGAAACAGTATTTTAAGACTTGCACCTGTTTTTGTGTTCACAACACAATTAGATCAAAAATACGAACAGAATAACTTCTACAATTAGGAGTAAAGAGTTTCCTACTTATTCATACAGCTTCTCATAAAATAATGGGACAGTATTTAAATGTGTAAATATTATCCAAACCCATTGACATTAAATTATTGATTCCATTAGATGTGGTTTCTTCAGACTCAACATATTCTTAATCAAATCACTAAATTAAGCCTTCAAAATAATCTTTCCTCGTGATGTCTTATTAAAATGACAAACAGAAACATGAAAACTTGCTTTTGTTTAAATTCTAATATATTTTATTGAATAGCAGTTCACAACTAAATGCTACATTGTTATCAATTAACTGCGCTTCATAATAACTAGTGACCTATTAGTTGAATATCTGATTTAGAACAATACATTCAATATTTTAGAACTTTTGTTAAAATTACATTTCTAGTGAAAAAAAATTTTTTTCGAGTACATAGATCAACCGGTTCCACATTCAGATTACTTTGTAGTATTTTTTTTTACATATATTTTTTTTATTTTTTACTTAATTTGAACAGCTTCAGACATCATACTCATAAACATGTACAAGATTGCATAAATCTTCTGGCTTCATTTTCATAAAGTTAAAAAATAAAAGAAAAACAAAGACAACAACTAACAACAATGCAAAATAGATTAAAACGATTTCAATGCATGAGCAGAGCTTGATGATAACATATATCAATAGTCATTTATACAAGAGTCTTCCTATTTGGTGCTTTTTCTAAACAAAATAAAACAAAACATCTTGGTGCCAAATCAAAAAAATAAAATAAAATAAAAACAAAAAACCTGTATATTCAGTATTGCTGGGTCTTTTTGAACTGTATGGCAAATACAGACAAAGACAATTGTATCTTTATCATAACTTTTTTTTTTCATTTTGTGAAATTAGTGAAGTAAAACTCATTTAGTTTGTGTTTTTTCTTTAAACTCACATGGTCTGAATACACTGGACCTGTTAGCAAACACATTGTGGTCCACAACGTTATTTTAAGGCACTACAATTTTGATTCAGATTCAACAAGTTCTCTTTTTTTTTTAAAGTCAATCAATATGTAATCATTAAAAAAGGCACAGATTTGTTTGAAAGTAATTGGTCCATTAAGATATAAAGTTGATAAAAAGAAACAAAACCTAAAGAAATGTAGGCTGTTTACCACATAAGTTTTTTTCTTTTTTTCTTTTTCTTGACTTTTTAGAAAATGTGAAAATTGGCCAAAGTAGTTTTTTTGGAGTCTGAGGATCCACAAAGAGGACTTTATGTCTGTATCTGCCATGAATGCTTCACAATCATTTTCTGTCCCTTGGAGAAAACAAACAAATAAAAATAAACAAAAAGATCAATTTGGACCACGGTTTTAAGAAACAGAACACAGAAATATTAAGCACCTTACAGTCACCGTAGGCCTGCCATACAAATGCATAAAACAAATCTATTATTTTCTAATTATTTAGTCAAGTTAAAACAAACAAACAAACAAAAAGATCCTTAAAACAGTACTGTAGTGAAGATCAAATGGCCACTTCAGAAGCATAAATGTCATAAACCAAGACATTCCTTCACTGTAGACAACAATTAAACTGACACGGAGTTCTTGCTTAATGTGCCGGCAACTATTGCACAATCTGCCAGGAACGCCACAAAATCCACATTTTGTAAGGATTAATGCATGTTTGATCCTCTGCATATTAACTAATCATTAACTTTAAGTAGAAAAAAAGCCATTAACTCTTCTCAATGAATTTAATCTGTTTAAGGTACTAGGTGATTGACTACTTTTTATTGAATCAATTTAGAGTTTTGAAGTAAAACATGAGAAAATGTAGTAGAAACAAACAATACAGGTCTTTGGTTAAACTGCAAAAAGTGGGTATTAACTTCATTGATGGCCCAAGCAAATACAAAAGGGAAAAAAATCTCATAAAAAAATTAGAAATTGACTAAATTAAACATTAAAGCAAAAGTCCACCCAAAACAGAATTAGTTATTTAAAATATTACATTTTCCTCAGTTTTATATGATGTAACGTTGTGCTCTTAACTGTCTTTTATAGCTTTAAACATGTTAATCTGACGGATACTTGAATGGTCTTTAAATTCAGATTAAGTGTATTTTTTTTTCTTTTATAAACACATATTTGGACAGCTACTAGGACACCACTTTGGCTTATTTGGACATTTTTACACAAAACATTGTTAATTATGTTGGCTTCACAGGCAAAACAAAGCAAAACAAGACCAAAAAAACTCTGAATTAGCTGCACTATACACCACTATCCAGTGTACAGGAGAAAAGAAAGTTAACAAAACTTTTATACTTTAACCTTTTTTTTTCAGTAAAATAAAGAAAAGAAAATCTATAGTAGTACAGGACCATGACATCATTTTAAGTAATTTACAAAAGTACTAAACATTGTTTTAAATTGGTTTACAAATGAACAATTCAAAAATAAGTCAAAAGAAAATGCATAAAGACAATGTTCCAAGGTTTATGAGATCTGAGCTGTGGATGTACAACATTCAAACATCTAAATGTATAACAAGAAACTACATTATTACCTTTTTCAGTAGCAGCGAAGCTTGCAGAAAATATTAAGCTTTACCTACATTATATTAAGTCAATACAAATGTTCTGGCAGTGTGACACAGTGCGAATTTTTTTAAACTTTTTTTTTTTGAATTTTGTGGTTACTATATCGCATAACATGCAATACCAGAAAGTGTTTAGCCTGCCTTATATGCTGTCATAGAATAATGAAATTGCTAAAACACCATAACTTTTTTGATAACTTTCCTCTGAGTTGTTTATAATTGTCATTTGTGAGAATGTAAACAATGCTTTATCCCATATTCATAAGTAGCAAAAAAGTGTACTTGGAAATACATAATTTTCTACAGAATTTAAAAAATAAAAAGGTTTTTTTTGTCCTTAATTTTTTTTTCTTTTTTTTTTTTACACAGTAGGAGGTCATTTCAATTAGAGAAACTAAAACACAAATCCTATTCAAAACCCACTTTACGAGTAAACTACTAATTCTTCATGTACTGCAGAAATCTTTCAAGAAGAAAAAAAAGATTATAATAATAACCTAACTGTTCAAAAAAAAATTTTTTTTTTAAATTAAAAACATTTTAAAGTTGCTATACAAATTCTATGTGCCCTCAGTTTGCATACTCCCAAATGTAAAACTGAAACACCAAATCTCAAAGAGTGAAGCTGCACCAAAAGAGCACCACAACCAAGGAATGAGCTGCTGGCTGATAGGGTGGAGGGGGGCTGGGGTGGGGTTAAATTAGGACACATAGGCACTAACAATTTCAGCCTCGTTTGTTTTCTGTGTTTTTTTTCTGCAGAAATACTTAATGGAATTTGGCCGGATACAATAAAATACATACACGTGTAATTGTACACATGTTGATGCTTTTGCAAAGTTAAACACAGAAACCTGTGCACAAGCTTCTACTACTCGTTTGACAATTCTATACGGAACCTTTTTCAACTAAGGCAAGGCACTTTAGAGTTAGAGGCCGATATGTTCTAGAAGAGGCTAGATTCCTACAAAAAAAAAAAAAAGATCATTTTAGGCTTATAGTAAATACAATACATGCTTCTCTAATGAATAGGCTTTTTTAAATTTCTAAATACTGTAACAAAACCTACTGATTGAAAAACAGCCTTAACATGTAGGATGTGCCTTACTGATATTACAGCTGCTGGTTATGCCTACAATGCAGTTTACATTTGTACTTATTTGATTWAAATTTTATAAATCTAACTATAGTAGAAACTATTAAGTACTTCTCTATGAAATCTTAATATGTAGAACCATGCTGTGATTTTAACAACAGGAAACATGAAATACTCGAATGTTTCACAGTACACAGAAGCTCCAGACATTAGCTTATGTAGAAAAACAAAAAGAAAAACAAAAARTATAAATCTAAAACAAGACACAATAGAATACCTACTAAGCAGCTTAAAGCAAAACTCTATATAGCCATTAATAAAGCCCCAGGTCAACAAAGTGCTCTGAATAAGAAATCAAACTTCCTCAATAACTTGGTCAAAAATAATGATGTTTGACTGGTTGCATAAAACAAAAAATGTAAAGTTTACCAAAACAACCTTAATCAAAGAGGAACACTTCATCTGTTTATAAGTTTTCACAGCTAATTGCAACTTTTTTAAAGCTAGTACTATTTTGTTACTGGATGTTTAACTTTTTTTTTACTACCGAAGAATACTTTCACTAAAATATCAAGTTTGTTTAATGAAATACTCTTAACTTTAAGAAAGAAATGTATACTTTTCTAAAAAATTGCTTCTAAACACTGGTGCTTTTTGCTGTAATAAAGTTTATCAACGAGTCATTTTACACGTCAGGTTTTGGATGCTCTTCAAAATAAACTGGTTTTAATATTACAAGTGCCTGGACATCAGATTTCTTAAWTTTTTTTTCCTTACTATTATTACATGTATTCCTATTTAGTTAGAGAAAACTCAGCAATGAGATTTACTCATTTTATGTGCACAATTATCAGAATAATTTGTGCAAGAAACACATTATTTTCCTGGCCATCTTTATTTKTAATTATGATGTAACAAATTTAACTAACCATTTGAATAAATTGATTCAGATATGGCATATTTTTAAATGCTTGYACTGAAACCACTTCAAATTCCATTACGGACAAATTCAAATTACCGGTAAGCACAAAGTGAACAAGCTGCAAGACTAGATAACTGATGACACAAATYAAACTCTTTATAGTGCAATGACTTCAGTTTTAATGGCTGAAATTCTTTAGATTGTAATATTGAATTTAATTTTCACATAATTTGACAAAACTGTTATTTGGGAAAAGCAGGACAGTCTTTTATGATTAGCCACAACGGTAAAAAGGGATGATGTGAGAATAATGTAATTTTAATCTGAGCATATGAATTTTAAATAATTAGGCTGACAAATGTGTTTGTGTATAAAATGAACATAAGCTACACTGACTGAATCTCTTGTATGAAATTTGATTTATAATACATTTGCATGATCAGTCAAACATCATTTAATCCTAATATTATTCAATCACTAGAAGAAAAAGACATTTCTGTTTAGAAAATGTGTTCTCGGTTAGTAAATTTTCCAAAGGGGTAATTCTTTAAATAGTACCTTGAGTTATTGTACATCACCACTTCAATATTTTTGTTTTACAGTAAGGACATTCTGTTTTACTAGGTGCACAGTTATCACAAAGTACATAATGTTGGCAAGGTTGCAGAACAATGCAACGATCATGCTTTTGGCAAACTATACATTTCTTTGACTGAAGCTGATAAATTACCTGTTGGGGGGGAAAAAAAGAGCCGAAATCAGCTGCAACCTAAGAAAACATATTTTATGCAGACTTTTTAAATAAGCATGCTAATCTGATTAACCTTGTAAAAACTATCGCGGAGGCTACAAATGAAATGTGTGAGATCTGGGCTTCCTTACCCCGTCTATAAGGTCTAGGTCATTACGTAGCTGACTCTGGATGGAGTGAAGCTTTGACAGGGGGAGCTGGTCCAGCTCTCCGTAGCTACGAAGAAGAGGAGTTCCAGAGGTGCGACAAAACGCGTCAAAGTCCCCCTGGAGCTCTTTCAGCTTGCGCTCAGTTTCTTCCCATTTCTGTTCTGCCAGCTGCCGCTCTGCCTCGGCATTCTTCGCTTGCTCCTTCGCCTTCAGAGCATCCTTCTGGCACGCTTCACAAGCCTACAACAGAACGTGGTGCTCCGATTGAAAAACTCTAAATGATTGAACAGGAAACCTTCTGAATACGTTACGGGTTTGTAAAGCAATTAAACGTGGAGCACTAACTTGTTTGACTTGATGCCAAGCGTCCTCCCACTGCTTGATCTTCCTCTTGGCTTCGTCCAGCTCTCTGAAAAGGCGCGCCACGTCAACGGTGCTGCTTGTGGAAGTCAAACTGCTGAAAACTGGAGACGGACTTGGAGAAAAGCTGCCGCTGACGAAATCCCAAATGTTGCTAGCTCCTCCGTTCAACCCTGAGTGACGTAACCAAACACATACCAAGCCCAAATGTATTGTTAAAATGAAAAAGCTGTCTGAACACTGCAAGTTGTTAGTAAATTAAAAACACTTTTAATTCTTTTTTAACCTTAAAGTAGACATAACATGCTTTTAAATCTTTTCTTTTCACATTTAAATCAATCAGTTGGGGGTCTTCTGGCATGTGCCTCAAAACAGCTCATTTTGTTACTGTTCCTTTAAGACGCCTAAAGCCCCGCCCCACTCAGGTTTCTGGACCGGTCCACTCCAGTTTGAGAGAGAGGGAGTTACGTTTTCTAGCTTGCAGAAACATTTTATTTACAATTAAATTAAGAGATGTCAGCAACTGAAGACTTGTCCATCCAGCCTTACATGTTGGAGCCAGAATATGACCCAGAACTAGAGGAGTATTAAGACAAGGAAATTGTAGTTGGTAAGTTCAGACCTTATTTGGCAATGCTGTCGCAGACAATTTGACATAACAGACTCAGAAAACGTGATAGGGCTGAAAAATATGACCCAAACAGAATACAACGATATTTTTGCAGCACCAGGAGAGACTAAATTCAACTTGTCTGCACTCATAGAGCCTCCAAGTACATAACAAAATGTATTAACAGCTGAAAAACAGTTGATTTTGCATGATATGTCCCGTTTAATCAAATACTTCTTTGCCCCCTTTAGATAAAAATCAAACCATCAACTCACCCAGAGAGTTTTGGGAGGAAGAGGTGGGTGTTCCTAGTAGGCCATGATCTTGCTTCGCTAGCATGTTTGAATGTTGGTTTTGCTGAGAAATAGTCCCAGAGAGCAGGGACTGCGATAAAGACTGGGAAAGGGAGCTTAGAGGGGATGTGGAAAGTGAGGATGAGGAATTAAAAGACGATGACCGTGCCAGGGACCCCGGAATGTTGACAGGAGCAGATCCACCCAGAACCCTTTGATCTGATGGACAAAAAACAAGTGGTTGTTGCTTATAGCTATAGTTGTGAGAATATGAGCCAACAAATGAGTGTGTTTATAGACATACTTGCTAGTCCTAAGCTGTGATCCTGCTCCTCTAATTCCTTATCAAGAGAGGCAACATTGATGTCACTGAACTTCAGGTCCAGTGCTGATCCTGATGAGAAACAAAACCAATCAGGCATCTGACAAGAAACAAAATAAAGGCTCAATGTTTTCTTCATGTAGTTTAATATACACTTTACCTATGACTGACTCCACTGTGTTGCTCCCTGGATAGAATGGAGTCGCTTTTGCATTCATTGTTGATAAGGTGGTGGGTGAGGAGCTATCTGAGCCAATACTAGAGGCCAAACTTGATGTTATGCTGGACGTAAAGCTCGATGCCAGAGGGTTCACTGGAGAGAATACAGTGTTTTGTGTCTGTAGGGAACAGAAAAACTTTTAATACTCGATTTCTTGATGCCATTTAATATTAAAACTGGCAAGAACACCATCAAAACACAAACCTGTTTATCTTGGTCCATTAATTTTTGATCCATATGTCCTTTGCTCTTAATCTAAAAAATGATCAGAAGACACAAAACAGCAAGTTTTAGAATAATTTACTCTTCCAACTACTTAACCTGATTAAAACACATTTTAATACTGAAGTTGATGGCAGGTAAACAAATACGTGGATTTTTGTAACGTGACTCCATCTTTTATAGCCTAAATATTTATGGCACAGCCACAAACACAACAGYCTTCCAGATATTTAAACCATGTTTTTAGGTCAAGTTTATTAAGAAATATGGACCTCTAAAATGTAAAAATATTCACACTTCAAGAAAAAAAATACATAAATAAATTCAGGGGATTTTTCTCCCCAACCAACATTTAATATTTTCATTTTATTTCAGAAAGTATACCAAATGAGATGTCATAAATGTGGAATCTGCATGATTTCACAAATAATGGAAACACTTAAAATGACCTACAAGCTGTGGAATGAAGATTTTAACAGATAAAACAAATGATGCAAACATAAACAGAGATGCAGAATAAACGTCAGCCCCTACGCTGTCTGAGTTTCATTCTTCCCAAGTCTGAAGAGTGCAGTCTGTGTACCTGATCCTCACGTTCAAAGCCCGGAGCTTTGGGATAGTTAGACGTCAGAGACGAGACACTTGATGTGGTGGATTCTGAACATAAACTACTATTAGTTAGAGATATGGGCCTGCTGATGGATCCCACTGGGGATAACAAACTGTCGCTTCCTGAGCTTGGTGTTATGGTTGAGTTACTAGAACATGAAACCTGAGAAAGAGAAGGGCATAGGAACTCAAAAAAAAAAATAAATAAAAAAATAAAAAAAACGATGACCAAAAATTAAAAATAGATCATTGTTATGACAAAATGACAAATGCATAAAAAAGCAAACAGAAGAATGAGAGTGTACACAACAAGCAATAATAAACAAAGTGGAATACTCGTGAAATCCAGTTTTTGGGATGAGTTGGTTGTGATAAATCCGCAATGACAGGACTGAAAATATTAATGAAATAAAAAAAAATGAGGCCAACATACACTTCCTACTTGTCCGTTGCTACTGGCTGCACTGGTGCTGGAGTTTCCTCCACTGTTCCACTCAGTGACTGGACACTCTGGAAACTGCTGAGAGCCCAGCTGGGGCTGTGAACTCGACTGTATTGAACTCATTGCTGTTAGCAATGAGTTCATGGTCTCCTCTGTGGAGGGAATTCCTGAGGATTCAAGTAAATAAATCAATTCATATTTCTCCAAACATTAGACATTTCTAAACATTATTTGTTTGTGGGGTCCTTGATCATAGAAGGCCTAACAAAAGTTGGGTTAGCATTCGCTTGCACTCGGCTTGGGGGCTAACGTGGTCATTTTTTTAAATCAAAACGTTAACTGTGCCTAATTTTAAAAATAAAAAAGTGCAGTTATCTTTTATTGTACTTACTTTCTACATGTGCAAAAGCACAAAATGGTCCTCTGGGACAATATCCTGTTTGTCGCTTATCATTGCATTTTGTCGACTTATAGATCTGGGGTCAAACAGAAAGCAAYAACAAAACTACAAGTTAATCAAACACAACGGGAAAAAAAGAAACATTATTAAAMCAGAGAGCAACATCAATCAACATCATCGACAAAATGATTTTCTCAATTTTAATTATGTCTGAACAACAAACACTTAAAATTATTTTTGACTGACACCAAACATTTCACTCACCTCTGGGTGAAACTGTTGTTCAGTGCGAGAGTGACAATACTGGCAACTGTCTCCACTGTCGCACTTTGACGGCTCRCCCCATTCATCCCCGTGTTTCACATTAGGGCACGGAGTTGACCTGCATGAACAGAGTCAGAAACTTCAACMCTCGCTCACAAATGGAATAACACACTAATATTTTCACKMAATCGTGACTTACCTGTACTTGAACTTTCGAGGATTTCGTCTTCGATCCCTACTGTTGTGGTAGTGGGGGCACGCGTAGCCCTGTCTGCATAGTCTTGGCGGCTTGGTACACTGATCTGTTTTATAATTGGCTAAAACGAAATTGGTATCTGCAAAAAGCGAACTCGGCGTTAATATGTTTATTTGTTTCTTCAYGTTCACAACGGAACTGTGTTTCAGGACTGAAAACAAATGTTTTTTTGTGTAAATGAGGGTTACACCTTTCCATCTGGGATCTTCTGTCAGAGTTTTCTCAATCATTGCTTGGCTGGCGAGCACACCTGGCTGCAAATCAGGAATACCGTCTCCAGTTCCCAACTGACCATTCTGGAGGGCCTCTTGTGCTTGAATCTCCCTGTGAACAAACACAAATTTAGCAAGTTGATTTGTACTTCTAAAAAAAATAAAAAATAAAAAAAAAACATCCGTGAATTAGGAAAATTGTAAGGAAATTAATGAGTGATTTCTACATAGCTTCACTCAGTAACTAGCTCTAAAAGTAATTTATAAAACCGGTTTGTTTTGTGTCGCGTGATACTAAGAACTTTAGCAGACATAAGAAAAGGTCACCATTTGCTTCGTGTCACCTGATATCATAGACTGGAGGTCGAAGATCATGTGGCCCATGAGCGAAAGCACAGTGGAGGCCATTCTTCACACAATGCCCTCGAGCATCTGTCTCATGGATACAAGTGCCAGTCTTGTAATACCGTAGATGGTACTTGCGCTCTGTATCACCAGTGGTCCGGTGTAGATAAGGGCAGCTATGAACACAAGCACACGTAAAATGCACACGTCTTACCAGCTGGTCCAAGTCAAACAAACTTAAAGGGATCTACAATTAGTTGTAACATTAGACTTTATTTGTAAAACATTTATTTTAACTGTAAAACAAAGACTGTAAAAACACTGTAGGCTGTTTTGTTTTTATAATTTTTAAACTAAAATAAAAAATATATATTACACAGACAGACATTTTATTTAGACGCAAAGCATTCTGGGTAAATGATGACGTGGATAGGTCCTCAGTGTGAGC